TTAACTACGTAAAGTAACTTACGTAACAACCACCTAACGACTACGTAGTCGTAATTACTTCTAATTACCCTCCTCCTACTCGTAGCTCGCCTTCCTACTCAACTCTACTACTCTACTCTCTCTCTCTCTCTCTCTCTCTCTCTCTCTCTCTCTCTCTCTCCATTTTGTCTCTTTGACAACCTGCGTGGCTGCTCCTAAACCTTTAAAGTTCAAGCTGAGTATTCTTTCTCCATCCATTCACAATTTGGTTGGCGATTGCCTTGAATTGCAGTGATATTGTCTAGGGTTCGCCCCACGCTCCTTTTATCAATGGATGCCCCATGAATTTCCTTAGCTTCAGTAGGTTCGTGTCAAGGCCTGAATTTAAAGAAGCACTGAATAACTTTTGAGTGCATTTAAAGAAGCAATGAATAACTTTTGAATGCAAGCTTTTGATCGATTCAGGGGCTTTCTTCCATTGAGATCTTTGTCATGGATTTGGGGTTTTCATGGGGTTTCAATTAATGTTTTGAGGCTGATATATACATTAATGAAAGTTTTGAGCTTTGGTTGGTTTGAGAGATTTTATATTTTTGCTGCTTTTTTGGTTGAATATCTGGTCTGGAATTTCGAGGGGTTTTATTGTGGTCGACTGATTTCTAGGGTTTTTTGGTGATTGGATTCCTTTTTGTTGTAACAATTGGGAGGAACATTGAAATGTTATTGTTTCTGTCAATAGTATTGTTTCTAACACCAGGTCTTTGGCAGTAATATCTTTTCCACATATATAAAAAGCACCACATAGAAATGGCAGAAGAAGCTACCATGGTGGAGAATGACGATAATTACGTTGAATATGTCCCTGTTAAAAAGAGGCGAATGATGGAAGCACAAAAAATACTTCAACGTAAGGGCAAATCCTCCGCTTTGGAAGATGCAGAACAAGCAAAACTCACAGAAGCAAAGCCTAGCCTCCTTGTTAAAGCTTCACAGCTCAAGAAGGAGCTTCCTGAGATAAGCCCAATGGAACAGTTGGTCCTCCAAGAAAAAGAGATGATTGAGCACCTCTCAGATCGAAAAACCCTAATGTCTGTTCGTGAACTTGCAAAAGGGATTCAATATACTGAACCCATGAATACAGGGTGGAAACCACCAACTGCGATTCGCCATATGTCTGAAAAAGAGTGTGACATGATTAGGAAGCAATGGCATATATTGGTAGAGGGAGACAATATACCACCCCCAATTAAGAATTTCAAGGATATGAGGCTTCCTGAACCTATTTTGAAAAAGCTCAAAGCAAAGGGAATTGTTCAGCCAACACCTATTCAAGTTCAGGGGCTACCAGTTATACTATCAGGTCGTGATATGATAGGCATTGCATTTACGGGGTCTGGTAAAACATTGGTTTTTGTGTTGCCTTTGATTATGACTGCTTTGCAAGAGGAGGTGAGTATGCCAATAGTACCTGGAGAAGGGCCATTTGGGTTGGTGATATGCCCTTCAAGGGAGCTGGCAAGGCAGACTTTTGAGGTTGTTGAGCACTTTTTGTTGCCTTTGAAAGAGTACGGGTATCCAGAATTGCGCCCTTTGCTTTGTATTGGAGGGGTTGATATGAGATCGCAATTAGAGGTTGTGAAGAAAGGTGTGCACATTGTGGTTGCTACGCCAGGTCGGTTGAAAGATATGTTGGCTAAGAAGAAGATGAATCTCGACAACTGCAGGTAAATTATCTAATGATTTGGTGCTGATTTTATTTGGTTTTCCTTGTTAATTTGCATTGCTCTATATATGATGAATTTAATACCTTCAAAATTTTAGTTTAGAACAAACTTGCTAGGCTAAACAAGTAAAAAAAAAATGGTTATTATATTTAAAACATCAATGTCATACTAAATTTATGCATTGAGGCATAAACACTACACTATATGAATAAAAGATAAGAAGTGCGCGATTAGGGAGAGAGGATTAGAGGAAGAGTACATTTAGAGAGAAAATAGAGTTAGAATGTCACAATAAGATAGAGAGAACTTCAGCCTCAAAAAATAAGATAGAAACAACCTAGAGAGAGAGAGAGATGCATTAGAGAGAGGATTGAGAGAGAGAAAGGACATGGTTAAAAAAAGAAAGGAGTCAGAGAGTTAGAGAGAGCGGAGACACAATGCGAGAGAGGATTTATGGAGAGAAAGCACAAGACAATAGAGAGTTAGGGAGAGAAAGGGCATGGTTAGAGTGGGAGGAGTGAGAGAGGCATGGGGGAGAAAGGGCACATTTAGAGAGAGAAAGAGCACAATTAGAGAGGGTTAGATATATGAAAGGTGTAATTAGTGGGAGAGGATTCAGTGAGAGAAAGGGCATGGTTAGAAAGCCAAAGGAGTTAGAGAGAGAGAACAGGGGCAGCGAGAGGCAAACTTCCTAAAGAACAAGATAAGCAAACCGCATGCTTAAAAAAAAAACAAGATAAGCAAACTTCCATTCGGGATGGAAGCTGCAAGTTCTCATTTTTTGAGAACCTAATACTTCCTAAGTCATTTTTCTGTAGCACTCCCTATTATTAAAGAAGGAAGTGCTACAATAATCTGGAACTTCCAATTATGAAATTTGCCCCAAGAGAAACAACTGTGAGGATGCACTTGTACAGATTTGAAGATCATGAAACATGCTTCTATTTTGAGAAATTCAACAGTAGTTGAAATGGAGGCAGGATAATGCACTTGTCATGTAGTGTTATTTTGTCCGCCACGTTCATTCCAAACATGAGCATCAAACTTGCATTTTGTGGATTTGGAAAGTAGCTTGCAGACAAGCACAATTATCTTCTAAGGTATGGAAAACAAAAGATTGGGGTTCAGTCACTAACCACATCATCAAAGTTTGTATTTTTATCTTGTGTCTGGTAATTGCAAGGTATCCAAAGTTCATGGCATGGTTTTCTTATAGTTGTCCTTATGTTTCAGGCATGCTCTATGCCTTAAGGAGGAGGGCATAAGGTCTTGTGAGTTATTAGATTTGGGGGTTTAATGACTGGTGTCTTGCATTGGAGATGCTTGGGTTGGATCTATTGGCTCCTTTGTCTTTTCTTTCCGCTTTGATGAAACTCCTATGATAGAAGTTCATGAAGATCATGTTGTCATAATAATGTAGTTGTACTTTTAAGTGTGGTCTGTTGAATGGAGCTGATGTCTTCATTATTTGAGCCCTTGGCCAGTCATTAATTTTAGCTGTCGTTGTGCTTTTGCATGTTATGCAGTTGTTACTAAGAATTCTGCCATCATTAGTTGGAGAGCTGGCTGGGGACCTTGTTAGGCATGCCTTTTCATAAATGGGAATGAACTAGAACCACTTCACATGATTATCAATTTATCACGTGTCTACTAAAGTAATGGAATTTATAGTGGTGTGAGATCTAACTTGATGCATGAGTTGTATGATGAATTACAAATCAAGTATGAATCCTTGTTTTGTAGCAAGCAGTCGTATCCGTCATGACGGATGATACATGCATCTTGTATATGCTATGGCCTATGAGTATGACTCGGACTTCATTGAAGTTGCTCGCTTTGGCTATGTCTAATCCTTTTTACGGCACTAGAAAGGTGACCGAACAACAGTTTGGCCCCTATTTCAGGAAATTTAAGTTCAGAACATCAAGTCAAAACTACCTTCTCCTTTTCTTTGGTGTACTATATGTTTACTTGCTGATTATAAAAAGCTAGGCATATAGTATACACCAATCAAAATAAAAGGAAAAGGTAGTATCACTAGAATCTATCACTTTTCACTAATTCTAGATGAAACTGTTTAATAAGAAAGAGAATTGTTTCGTACATGATTTTCTATTTCAACAAGATCATGAACTTTTTAACTAATGGCGGTGGGAGTACCAAGCATGTTAACTGTTCTCTTTTGCATATATGTATGTCTTTTTTCTTTTCCTAGTTTTGGCGGATAATTTTCTTAGCTCATGATTGTTTTTTTTATATTATTTACATTCTAAGGGGGATGTCATGCAATCCTTCTACTTTTGGGCTCATTCCTAAACTCAGTTATTAAATTGGGATCCTATGTGATTGAGAGAATGATTTGTTTCTAATATGCTGAACAGGAAGATTAAATTCTTTATCTTACAAACAAGGGAGAGAGGGACTGTTTATATACACGTGCACAGGCATGTGTCTGTGTGACCCCCGCATGAGAGAGATGATTTGCATCAGTTGCTTGTTTGCTTCTCCATTTCTATGATAATTTTTTATCAATATTGCTTGCTTGTTTCTCTCTCTCTCTCTCTGTGACCCCCCACTGAGAGAGATGATTTGCATCGGTTGCTTGTTTGCTTCTCTATTTCTATGATAATTTTTTATTCAATATTGCTTGCTTGTTTCTCTCTCTCTCTCTCTCTCTCTCTCTCTCTCTTTCTCCATGCATTGACTAGTTGTTCTGCAGATACTTGACATTGGATGAGGCAGACAGATTGGTCGATTTGGGTTTTGAGGATGACATAAGAGAAGTATTTGACCACTTCAAAGCTCAGAGGCAAACCCTCCTCTTCTCCGCTACCATGCCCAAGAAAATCCAAAATTTTGCAAGGAGTGCTCTCGTACAACCTGTGACGGTCAACGTGGGAAGAGCAGGAGCTGCAAACCTAGATGTGATCCAAGAAGTCGAGTATGTGAAGCAAGAGGCAAAGATAGTCTATCTCCTTGAATGCCTCCAAAAAACCCCACCACCTGTTCTTGTCTTCTGTGAGAACAAAGCTGATGTGGACGATATCCATGAATATCTCCTCTTGAAAGGAGTCGAAGCTGTGGCTATACATGGAGGCAAGGACCAAGAAGAGAGAGAATATGCAATCGCTTCTTTCAAGGCTGGGAAGAAAGATGTATTGGTTGCCACAGATGTCGCATCCAAGGGTTTAGATTTCCCTGATATCCAGCATGTTATAAATTACGACATGCCTGCCGAGATTGAGAATTATGTACATAGAATTGGGCGAACTGGTAGGTGTGGAAAAACAGGAATAGCAACCACCTTCATAAACAAGAACCAGAGTGAGACCACACTGCTTGATTTGAAGCATTTGTTACAAGAGGCAAAACAAAGGATCCCACCTGTGCTTAGTGAGCTGAATGATCCAATGGAGGATGTGGATGCGATTGTGAGTGCGAGTGGAGTGAAGGGGTGTGCTTATTGTGGTGGATTAGGGCATCGTATAAAGGACTGCCCAAAGCTCGAGCACCAGAAGAGCATGGCCATTGCCGGGACAAGAAGGGATTACTTTGGATCAGGGGGATATGGGGGAGAAATTTAAAGGGGGCTTTTGGTATTTTGTAGGTGGTCTGGGCAAGCATTTCGATTTAACATGAGTTGGGCCTAATTTAACTAGAGAGAGGCCGAGGAAGCATTTGGGCTGAACATGAGTTGAAGCTTGGTTCATGAGAACGGTGGCCGCAAGCATATACTAGGTGAAATTTGTATCATACAAATAAAAGAAGAGGTGTCTGAGGAGAATTTATTTGCATTTTCCTTGGGATGAGAGGAAATATGAAGAAGGAAAAGTAAATGAGAGTTGGTATTTTCCCTATGTACTAATTGAGTTGGAAAGCAGGGACATTCGGGGCATCTGTTCGATTATTCGCCCAACCTTGTCTGGCTTCAATCGAAAAGATACAAACCAGATCACATGTTGGTTAGCCTTGTTGTTCTATAGTTTTGATTGAACCTGGTTAGTCGATTTATGAGTGGGGTGTCTCCCTTGAATGGTGCATGTTGAGATTTGTGCTATACATTCGTCCAACTTGGTGATCACAACTGAACTTGTTAACATCCCTTCTTTTGAAGGGGCCGTTTGGGTACCTGAAATTATATTGTTTGTGCAATACATTACTGATGTAATATATTACCGGTCAAATACATTATCTGAAAATGAGTTTTTGCTGTTTGGGTCATGCAACTTGAGAAATACGTTGTTACTGTTTGGTTGTATCCAAAAGAAATCTAGGACATGCATTCCCGCTCATTTTGGCTTGGAAAATGTGATGTTTTCGTGTACAGATTGTAATATCTAACTTTTTTTAGGATATAATGTCATTTGAAACGATAGGTAAAATACTTGTCATGATATATTTTACTTAAAAAATATCAATCTATGTCATGGTATAAATATTTACTTAAAAAATCTCTCACGCCCTCTCACTTCCCAATGCGTTTCTCCCTCTCTCTAGTAAATTTGAGGAGAAAAGAGGGGTTATTCATAGCTTTCAGCTCAGCAACATTTTCAATAGAAAATATTTTGAGAAAATAAAGTCCTTAACGGCTTCAGCTTATGAAACTTCTTTTATTTTCTGGGTTTCAACCAATGAAGAAAATTGCAGAGAAAATGGATCATATGTTTATATGCAATCGAATCTCTTGCCTTTCTCTAGATCATATGTTTTTTTGCAATCGAAGCTCCCCTTGTTATTCTCTTTGATGACCAGCCAATACCTTGGCAAACCATTGAATCGCTTGCCTTTCTCCTCATTTTGATAGCCATTAATGGCCCTAATCTCATTAAACCATAGGTTGCCTTTCTCCTCACTTTAACAGCCATTAATGGACCTGGTCTTATCAAAACTGCTTCGAAAGAGATAAAATGGCCTTTAGAGAGAGAGCGGGGAGGGCTTAGCAATTGGGGCTCAAGGGAAAAGGGTTTCTGAAAGTGTTATACTTGAGGAAAAAGGGTTTCTGATAGTGCTATAGAAAGAGAGAAAGAGAGAGAACTAGTTTTAACGACTGTGACAGAGAGGGAGGAGGTGAGTTACAGAGAGATGACTTGAAGAGAGAGTGCGGAGGGCTTACTAGGAAAGAGAGATACAATTGGGAAGAGAGCCACATACAATAGAGAGAATATGGTTTTTAAACTGACCTCAACGCACAGAGGTTAATATTTTAGGGCGGGTCTGGGCTAATATTACCTATCAAGCCCGATAACAGATTTCTCAGCCCTCCAAGCGCGAAATGGATTTCAGGATTTTGAGGGAAATCTTGGGTAATGTGTTTTCATTTCCTGCTAACTATATGTGTAACCAAATGCTAGAAATAGCATATTTTTTTGTAGGACCCGGTTTCTATGCAGCCAAACCCGCATAAGTAGAAATGAAGGTCTCTTAATAAATCTATTTTTGAGATGGATTTTAAGACTTAATTTTTAAAGACATGTAATTTTTAACATGGAGATCATGAATATGAAAAAATAAATAAATTTTAAAAAGTAAAAATAGAATTCTAGTAAAAAACATTTGGACCGTTAGTTTTCATTGTTTTTAGATGAAACACCTACTTGCATCCATCTTTAAGATGGATGTTCTACACTTTCTAGGCCGCATATGTAGAAACGGGGTCCAGCCTACATGAAACAGTTTTCCTTTTTTGTAATCTACTTCCCTGTAATAAAAATACAATAAAAATACAAGTACCCAAGCAGCCCCTAAAAGAAAGAGCAAGCAGTTCAAAATTGTTGTCAATGTGACCTTGTGGTGGTCTTTTATGGATTTAGTCCATGTAGTGAGTGGCCGCTTCTTTGTGTTAGGGGAAACATGCGTTGGAGAGCCGGAGGTAGCACCTGAATTGCTTTTGTTTTTGCGTATTTGTTTGATGTGTCAATGTTTGCATATCGGTTGGGCTAATCGGTCATATGGAAAACCGGTCTGGATCGGTGATGGGGAGAAATAGATGGATTGATTCTCCAGTGTGAGTCATTAGAAATTGATAAATATTTTTTTAAAAAATAAAAATATCAAAAAATATAATGTCTGGGAACTGAGTGATCTTGCTAGCCCAAATCCCCTTGCTCCCTAGCAAACTTGTCCTCTTCCATGATGAATCAAGGTGAATTTGTAAGAAATGTATGATTCCCGGTCTAGTCAGTCTGGACCAATTCCGAGTCTGGATCAGTGATTCCTCACTTGTACCACTGATTTTAAAAACATTGATCTTTGTCCTTGGGTGCTTCATGTTTTAGCAAATTAAGTAGACATTATTTTTGCTTCCATTTGGTTTCAATCATCTTCACTCTTTGGCCTTTAGGAGTGTACATACCCTCATGTGATCTCTTTAAGTGGATAAAATCGGTGACGATATTCTACTTGCCCTTCGTAAATTTTTATCTTATTGAAGTAGGCATTAACTGATTACTAGGGTTGAGCCAAATTAATTGAAAAAATACTATGATGATGATGAAAGGTTGAATGAAAAATTATCCTGATATGTGTGCATATTGAACCTTTTAAGCCACTGGACATAGATTTCCGAAAGCAGAAACCAAAGGACCAAATTCAAATGGTTCTTAATGGTTAAGGGACCCCCTCTCTCTCGCTCTCATGGTTCTTAATGGTAACCCATGAGAGGGACCTCTTTCTCTCTCTCTGACACACAAAAACACGAACAGGCATGTATACACATGCACCCATATAGATGGACCATCTTTGGACTAAAACAGTCTGAACTCATTGTTCACTATTATGGGGTTGTCTGAAATTGTTCGAATAAAAAATCCCCAAATTCAAAATCTCTATTAGCTAACCTAAAATAGTGCAATATCATCAAGTAAGTATCAAATTGTGAGAGGTATGCCCTAGGCAGAAAAACATTTCCATCCTAGCCGCTATTAAGTATGGGCCAAAAAAAATCATTGGTTAAGGTGTTGATGATTGTGAATGTATACAAATTTTAAGTCCTACAACGAATTAACAAACGGAGAAGCCAAAAAAGGAAAATGTTAAAATTATGTTAACATTTAAACATGGAAAAGTAGTCTGTGTGTCGAGGAACACACTTCTACAATACCATCGTCAGATGCTTGTAGCATCCATCCCTCAAAATTTCAAAATCAACGTTGTTTGAATTATGTAAATAATTTTTTTTTTCCTGAAGTTACTACTTATCATTGTCGAGATTATATATTCCTCAAAATTTTGAATCCAAAATCTCTCTCTGAAATAGATTTTTGAGAGAGGACTCATCTGAATAGGTGAGTCGGCCGACTCACAAAAACCTTGCCCATTAAACACAGCCCTAAATTATGACACTGTCCACACTGCAACTTCCTCCCACATCTCAACATAAATCAAGCAAATAAAACTCCAAAGCTAGCCATAGCCAAGTTCCACCAAAAACCTGCGAAAAAATTTCACTTTCTTTTTCTTTCCTTTCTGTATGGTAAGTAAAATCCTCACAACTTTCTCAACATGTCATTTTCTCACTAGAAAATTGAGAAAATAGAAAAGTCAAGAAGCAATAACATAAACTGAAAAAGAAAAGAAAAAACTGTTCGTCATGTTAAACAGTTAGGAAGATGCTCCAGTGGCTTGCTTTGGAATTAAAAATAGGAAGCCAAGAGGTATAAGTGTACATGCAACTTGGATGATGATTGCAAGGAGAAGGTTGTCAAAAGACTGGTGCGAAATGTGGAGAGCTGATGCCAAACCTGCCCCTAGAAAGGAGCCCAATGTGGAGCCCAGGTTGTTGATAGACATGAAAAGGGCAAATAGTGTGCCTTCAATACCAGGAGGGCAGAGCTGTCCAGAAATTATCAGAAAGGGCATCAACCTGCATCACCACAAATGCGTCAACCATCTGGCCTATGGCGCTAAAATTCAAGGTTCTTAATGAACAAGGCGAAGATGTCATCAAGCTATAAATGAATATCAGTAGACTTCTAAAATAAAAACAGGAGCATATCAAACACCAGTGGTGAACATTATAGTGCACGCCATGACCGTGTCCAATATCAGTTCCTAATGGACAATAAGAAATTAATTGAAGTTGTCCATGGTGAGAATTCAGCCACTTATGGTTAATGTCCAGTGAGAGTAACATGCCCCTGTGATCCGACATCTGCCACAGGCCAAAGGTGTTTGGCATACTTTCCTAAAACAACGTCCAACATATATCCAAAAACCCCAATCAAATTGTTATATTTCTTGAAAAGTGCCATGAAAATTGGTGGTGAAACAGGCATGATTTGCACCGCACACAACTGGATCATTCAATGTAGGCACGAAGGAACATCTAACTTTTGTCCAAAAAGCCCAATCATTTGTTATATTTCTTTAAAAATGTTATGAAAATTGGTGATAGATCTGTGCTGCACATAACTGGATGATTCAATAGCATTCTTTGAGGATATATAAATTTAACATTTGAGTTCTTATGTTGTACTCGATTGAGTGTGCTGGTAGTTAGATACTTGTTTGGTATTAGTCCAGAGTAAATCATGATGCTCACTTGAATAAAACCAGAATAAGACAATTGTTCTCCTTAATACAACCAAGGAAGAAAAACTGTAAATTCTAAACCATATGTCACTTTGTAACCTGAAAATTGCCATCTCCTCATATAGCTGACCAAGGTTGGCAATAACTTCTACTGTTAATCAACATTTTCTTTCAAAAAAGAGTGCCTTTAGTCAAAATTTAAAACTGATGTTGGAACACAATTAATTCTTTTCCCATATTTGTATAATTTAAAACTTGACTTCACTAAACAATACAGGTTTGTTAGGCTCTAAACCCTGCCTCCTGAGCCTGACCCACCACGCATCAACCTGGATTAGATTTCAAGTGCTTCTCCATAGATAATAGCATCTTTACAGAACTGATCTTAGACAAGTTTTAGAAACAGTTAAAGCAAAAATTGGAAAGCAAGTAGCCATACTTCAGTTGATTGATTGCATCTGCAAGAGTAGACCCAAAAAGCACAAGAGCCTTATCTGATATGCCGAATGTAACATTCAACCGGGACACCAGTAGCCCATCTAGGAGGGTGAATATGGCCAGACCGACATGGGCCCACCTGCATCAAGAACACATTTTCTATCAGTGAGGATGTGCAGCAACCATCCACCACAAAAATTGAAAAGCAAAACTGGTTTAGCCTACAGGAAAAAAAAATTCTTTATCACATTCATTCAAAAGTTGGAGGAAAAATGTGATTTTCCTTTTAAGCAGAAGCTATAAGATTATGTGGTAGTGAAACTCATGTGGTAGTGAGACTCATTACACACCAATATGTGAACTAGAGTTCGAAAAATCGCCGATGTAGATCGGAATTGCCTGATCTGGATAGGGAATCGTCCTGGGCGATCTGGTTGCTGCAATATATCAGGAATCAGCTGTTCCCCCCCACGCCGGATTGGCGATTCCATTGTTGTGAAATGCCGATTCACTAATCGGTGATCCACATTAAAAGAATTTCACAGAGGCCTTTCTTTTTTCGAATTTTTTTTTTTTAGAAGTTGCCTTTCCATGGGAGTTCGGTCCCACAACCAACCATATTTTTATAATGTTTTGTTGTTTTAGAAACAATTTTATTTTAACAGTTTCTTTTTTATGGGCATTGGTCCCTCCTGTAAAGGAGGCAGGCAACTACAAGGTGGTGTTGGTCACCTCCTATTTATAGGACCATGTGTCCCATTGTCTAGCCAAACTCCCCGATGTGGGATGTTTGTAAGCGGGCTTTATTTGCCCTAACTTGTCTTTTGTCAAACGGAAATGCCCATCTTTACCATCCGTCTTTGAAGTGGATTGCTGACGTGAATCTAATAAAACTTACACAGTTCAGCATGAATACTTGAGAGTGTGAAATAAGAATGACGCTAACATTCATGAAAAAAAGAAGGCGTGAGAGAAAAATGGACTCATTTTTCTTAATCTATTTTTAAAAGCCTTTGTGCACTATAATCACAAGAGCACCTTTAATAACAAAGAAAACTTAAAGCACTATAATAATAAATAAAATTGAATTTAAAGTAAATTCTCAAACTTTCTTTTAGAAATTTATTGAACAAATGATAAACTATGAGTAATACTTCATGGTCTTCAATAAAATGAATTTTTTTGAAGTTATTTTAAAAAAAAAACTATTTAAATAGTTTTTCAAAAAAATAAAAATATTTTTAGGGAAAATGCATTTGTAACAGAGTTTTGTGCAATTTCATCCGTAAAATACCAGTATATTTAGGCAATACCCAACCCTATCCAACCAAACACAAAATCAAACGTCATATCTCGACAAAACACATCAATGTTATGAAGTCGACTGTCCTCTCTCTTTGAGGAAATGCATGTTAATATCAATAAATTAGTATAAAAAATCACTTTCCCCCTCGTTTCTTCAGTAAAAATCATAAAATAAGCATAATTTTCTTTTAAGTATTGTATCAAAATTAGTACCAAAAATTAGTATCAATAGACACTCAAACAGGACATTTCATATTCATGTGGTTTTTACAAAATAAAAGTATATGATGCAATATTCACGTTATAGGTTGTATTTCAATTGTTGTATACTCCATTTTGGACCATATATTCATATCCATAATGATTGTAAGCTCCTTTTGGTCAATAAACACCCAGACAGGGAACAACATCTTAATATTCATGTGTTTTTACAAAATAATAAAAGTACATAATGTGGCACCCCCAATTTGTTTTGGAAACTCAACAAACATTCTTTTTAGGGATTTTTAGGCTTTTTTTTTGTGAAAATTTTTTGAGGCCAAAATCATGCGGCTGATTCTCCCATCCGGATCGCTGCTGATCCGGGTCACTGATCTGTTGTTTTAACCTTGATGTGAAGTAAAATATTACAAACAAATCATAAGCAACTTATCACTGACACCCTTGACCATCCTAACTCACAATTGCCATGACTCTCCAATCTGGATAAGTCAGACATGTTAGCTCCTTTTCATTTGATATAAGAGAAAGTTGTGCACAAACGACAAAGTACTTGCCAAGTATAAAGGGAATATGGAAATGACCATAGAAAATAAGGTAAAGGTGTAAAAGAAACAGTAAAGTGCATGCTGTGTAGACATAATTAAACCTTAAAAAAAAATTATCATTTCATTATGCAAGATGCAGATTCCAAATAATGCTAGCAGATCATCACAGCCATATAATAGTTTCACCAGTCAATAGTGGGAATCCCTCACAAGTCAAGCCATAATACTTGTCAAACTAATTTATGTAAGCATATTATGCAAATGGTACGCCATCCAAAGTGGGACAATTCATTGTAATGTCACAACGGTGGGCAGTTGAGAACTCGGATGACCTGTAATTAAATTGCTGGACTTATAAAGTGTTGTAGTTCATCTCCACTGTCAGTCAAGGGTCGCCAGTGGACACCAGGCCATATATTGTATATCATACAAAGGATGTGTATACTACATGTAATAGAAATTACCCAAACTGGTGACATACTGGTATGTTTACACTAGAGTTTTTCATGTTAACATTGTAAAATTTGCAAGGGTATTTTGGATATACACCATAGGATATGATACCAACAGTTCTAATTTATACAAGTTCTAGATGTGCACATGGGAAATGCATAAAATTTCAAGGCAAGGCAAGCCGAAATGCATAATATTTCAAGGCAAGGCAAGCCCTCTTTCTCTAGGTAATTTCCAATGCCTTAGACACCATGCTTGTTCCAGATTCAACAATGAAATACCTTGCATGGAATAAGATGATTTCCCTTACGAATTCAAGGTAAAAATTATGGCTCAAAACCTAGCTCGTTGCGGGAATTTGGTGAACATCAAGACGAGTATAATGGTAGCCGTTTATTACAGCATTACCTTAAATACTATGGCCCACTGAAGATACAATATAGAAATACTTCACATGGAGTAAGATGGAACAAATGTTGTAACTGAACAAAATTAAATGATGATTTAAAACCTTTGTTTATTTCATTTCAGCAGCAAAAAACAGCTCCTATGTGTCTAACATTAAGGCAAGTATCACGGCCATTTAATTACCCTAATACCATTGACATCAGTCAAATTCAATAAAAAGTAATTATTTTCTCTGAACTTCAAGGAAAATTAGAAATCCAGTTTTATAAATTTCAAGTGCAATTCCTAATATATATATTTTTTATATTCAAATTCATAGTTCAGTTTTGAAGTGAATACAAAATAAAGACCCAACTAAGGGTGAAAGTTCATCAGTAAGTCAAATATTTGTTCTAAACTATAGAACTTCGAATTGAAAAATGGAATTCCATGTTATCTGCAATACTCACATGAGAATCCTTCTAAGCTTCATATGCTTCAGATATCGGTTGTAAGTAAATGTTCCAAGCATGAGGCCAACCCATCCAACAACACGTGCAGTTCCCAAAAAGGATGCTTCTAAATGCAGAACCTCTGTCTGGTAATAGAACATGATAGTTGAAATGTTTGGGATAGTAACGTTCGAGAGGAAAAACCATGTCATAGGTCTGACCTTACAACACCAAATGCAGAGCGAAAACGTCAGTGATAAAGGATATGCAGCTATTATTTTTTTGGCAAAGGATGTGCGTGTGCATGTGTGTATACGTGTGTGTGTGTTGTTTGCCCTCCCAATATTAATAGACACTAATCATGACATTCTAAAAAATAGACACTAATCATGCATTTGGAAGTAATCATGCATGCATCAAAGCTACCTTAAGACGATTGGCCTCCTAAAAGCTTCAAACAAGCTCCTGATGGCCAATCTCAGGGACAAGAACCACTTCAGTGCCAAAGATTTCTTCTCATGCAGCTCAGATTGCGTTGGTATTGCTTTCAGATTCTCTTCATTAGGATTTCTCTTTCTCCTCCTCATAGTTCCAACCTTAGGAGTTGCTCCCAAATTGTCTTTATCAAGATTTCTAGCTACATCACCATCTGGCTTCTTGTACTCCACTGACTTCTCCATCGATAATCCATTCTGAATTTTAACCCACCCATCCTGTAAATCCATAACTCCCCCTTCAATTGGGTTCCTCACATTGCTTTCTGCTTTATTGCTATCAGTTTCAGCATCCATTTTGGCATGATTGACCAGTACTTCGTCACAGGAAGGAATTTCCTTCACCAGACCACATGAAAATAGTTGGACAGTTGGAAAGATAGAGAAAAGAAGAAATATGGTCTCAATCCTCAAGTTAGTCAGAGCATATCCACCTATTAAGCTACCACTAATTCCTCCCAAGGCCATGGCAGACCACGACAATGACTGCAATTCCCCAGAAAATGCTTCCCTGATGAAAACGAAAGTTTAGATCATCATCTCCTGATATGAGGGAAAGAAATGATTGTTTTTACATCTCCTGATATGAGGGAAAGAAATGATTGTTTTTATAATTAAAAGAATAAAAAATAAAATAAAATCTAAAACCTTTCACGCCGAACAGCCTCAGCAATCATTGCATCAACCACAACATCAGCCATTGCAGAACCTAGGTTTTGCAGTGTCAATAAAATTGTGAGAAAGACAGGTGAACTCCTCAAAGAAGCTATGAGACCAAGAAGAATCCATGGGAAGAGAGAGAGAATGCTTGCTATGGCCAAGTATGGCAATCTTTTCTTTCCTTTGATGGGAATACAGTCTGACAAGACTCTGCATAAACAAATGTTGGTTGTAAATATCAAATACTATCTAAATCCATAAGAGCAGCTAATGACCAGATACCTGTGATTAAGAAATAGGATATGCATGAAGGACGGAAAATCAAGAATACCCATATAATGGTTTTATACTCCAGGGAAAAAATGCAACTGAAACGACAAGCTGTGAAGCTGACGGTGAAAATTTAAGCATGTCTTTTAGCTGGTAAGAAACTGCTGTCCATACAAAGGATCTGAAGCCCTGCATCCATGATCAAGCGCATCAAACATGTATAATGAACTGACTTTAAGTTCTTCCAGCGTAAGAATAAACAAAAAAGTCAATACTTACGATGGAACAGCTTGGGTTATGAACATTTTTCTTAGTTGTTTTTAAAAAGGAAATGATATTCTATGGTTTATCTTAGCCAAGAACAGAAATTTCCAAGTATTTTTTTATCTGCGTAACAATAATTTTTCAAAGTTTTACTCATCTTTGTTATTCAATCTACTTTTTGGATATAGTAACTTCCAGGGTGTCATGTTCTTTGGTTAGTCACTTGAATCCAAATTGAAACATACCATGCAATCAACTAGGAAACAGCCATATGAAATTCACATGCAGTGGATCTACACTATCTAACATATATAATGGTGAGCGCTTAGCAATGAGGACTTGATTGACTAAGGTGTTGATGCATTGACGCATTCCAAGTTCAAATCCTCTGGACTACACAAAAAATAAAGGTGAGTACTAGGCTAAAAGGCTGGGAAAAAACCAGCAAAAGATAAATTAATATGATCCATAAGTATATCTTAAATAACTAATTAAATCCAAATTCTTCTTCAGCTTATCCAAGGACTCCACATCTCTCAAGCAAAATTCAGAACTCGTGAAATCTTTCACTACTTTATACTTTCAAAAAGATGATGTCCTTTTATGCTTTCATTAAATATTTTGATGTAAGAATTGCACTGACAGCATAAGGATAAAAAATTGCATCTATTTCCATATTAAAGATGAAAATGTTCAGATGAATACAATTGGAAAAAACAAAATAGTAATCTGCGAACATGCCAAAAAGGTGCACAAAAACCTTAACAATTCGTCGGATATTAATGTTCATCAAGATAAGCTCACAAACAATCTGGTTTTAAAGTTTTAGTTTCATTATTTATTATAATCCCTAGCTGGATCCCACGTTCAGCACCATTGTGACCAGTTCCCAAACTTGTATTATATGCTGGCCATCTAAGGGTGCTATTGGCCATCTATTTATTCACTCTACATTCACAAGGAAAATAATGTTCATTTTTTTTATGTGTATTTCGAGCTTACCTAGGTTACATTTTTGTTGGTGACAAAATATATGAGCTGAGTAATGTCTAGCCTATTCCCTGAAGGAGGGGTGAATCATTTAGAGGTTTTTCTTTCTAGCAATAACTTTTATGGATTTTAAAAGGAGAATGAAGTTTTAGAAGTGTAAGCTCAAATTCTGATGCATCACAAGTAAAAACTCATCCATGAGTAATCTCTTGGGCTTTTATAAAAGGCTTTATTAGCTCTTTGTGCCCAGAAAACCCTCAAGGCATCATGTAAGATGTCACAGTGGCAACATTAATTTTGCAGGGAGACTCCTAACCACAAACAGATTATAAAGGAATTTTTTCAAGTTCATACCTAACTAAAGCCAAAGGTCAAGGCAGATAGAAAAACCTAAATTTTCGATTGGTTTTGACGGCTGATTTCAAACAAAAGCCAGACAGACACAATTGAGAGATCAAAAGAAAGCTGAGGTATCACAATTAATGGATCAGTGCAATATTAGCGATATTTTTAACAAGAGAAATTCAAGTCTGATGCTAAATGATCAAATTTGACTTTACTGAACTAACTTTGGATAGTGATCCATGGTGTCACACAACACGTTTGCAGCATACTTCAAGCATGAATCTCAATTTCCTGCTCTCAAATAAGTCTGATGTCTTCCTTAGTGATTGGGTGACTCGATAACACGAGAAAGAGAGAACGAAAAAACAGTGCCCTAGTCTGAGTTTGCCTGCTAAATACAAGCACAATTTCTTTGTGCTACATTTTAAGCAAGCTACTTATTCCAAGCCATTTGTAGTGTGATTTCCAGCTGGTAAAAGTCAGACTACAAACATAAAAAAATCAGATCACTCTCAATCTTAATCTAGAACCCACACAATTCTGAGAAAAAAAAAAACCATAAATCATTCTAAATAGAAACCCTAGATTTTTTATTTTTATTTTTTTTTGCTAAAGGTAAGCAACCCTAGATTGCTTTACTTGATGCTCTAAAATTAAAAACTGAAAATAAAAATTCAGAACTACAAAGACAACCGTAAAAAAGATTTTCCGACAGAAAAAGAAGGAAGCAAATGATTTAAAAGGTAGAGTAAAAGTAAGAAACGAAAATGGAATGATCAGAGAAGGGCACGAACCTGGGTGAAGTAAATGAGCGCAATTAGCCAAATAAATGAAGCTCCGAAGGTTAGATGCATGTTTCGAAGCCATGTGATCATCTTACTTGTTTTTTAGAGAGAGACAGAAAGAGAGAAGAGAGAGAAGAAAGAGAAATATCAACAAAACAAATATAGAGAGAGAAGGCGTGAGCTGGTATTATTACCGAGAGGGAGAGAAAGAATAATGAAGGGAAACAAGAGAGAGAAAGAAGAGGAAGAGATGAGAGAGAGAGAGATTCTCCGGATTGCACGCAAAACCCTCTCCCTTGCTTCTGAACGAGGGGCGCGAATCGTGAAGAGAGAGAAATCTGGAAAACAAATTTCCACCCAGTTTTGGGTGGCAATAAGAAAATGAGGATAATTTTTGTTTTGTACCTTAGTTTTGGGTGGAAGTAGCAAGAAAACATATGATCGAGTTGCGTTTGCTTTTCAGATTTCATCGCGCCTAAAAGTCTTCGACGTTTGAACTTTGAACGTTGAAGGAAAAGGAGGGTACCGGTATTTTTTATCAAGGGGGATAGCTTAAGAGCCCGTTTGTTGACCTGATTATTTCAGAGTCTAATGTAAGTCTGTAACTTCCATTCTTGTTTTCTCCACCACCATCCAAAAGAAGATCCTTAAAGTGTGATCGTAGTTTATATTGGAAAGCATAAAATATTGACATCTTATTTCCAGGAAATGTTTTTATGTGACCCCACTTTTTATAAGTTTGATTTGAATTGAACGATTACGATTGTTTATACCACAATGTCATGCCAAACATTGCTTTATTTTTTATTTTTTCTACAAAATATTTTTGGATGAAATTTTGGAGAATGTGTAAAAAATGAAAAACAAATACTTTTTGTAAAACTAAATGACCAAAATCCCCTTAGGGGTATTCTCGTAATTTTTCATCAACTATTTACTTCTCGTCTCATTCTTTATAGGGTGCAGTTGGCATACGGATGCATCCGAGTGTAGAGGTAAGGTGCACCTTCAAATTTTATCATGGTATATAATTTTGATGTAAAATGTTCTTAGGATTATCTCAAAATCGAGTTTTATATCTAATTATAAAATTTTAAATTTGAAAAATGGTTAAAATCAAGTAGATTTATAAACATATGAAAATCTTGAAAATGGACGGTGTAAATAACATGTTATAAAATGCACTATTTCTGATAGTTAAAATCTTTTTATTTTTCATAGTCATACATCTTAATGTCGAGATGATCAATCAAAGGGTTTTTAACATTAAAACTACCTTTTCCAATGGATTTTTGAGGGGCATCCGCAGTTCTACTTTATAAGGTAGCATCCTTATATAAACTTTTCCTTCAATAAAAGATGGGAAAAGTTTATATAGAGCCGAGGCTCTAAACAATCAAATTTGAGCTTACCTCAAAAATTTCACTAGAAGAGGTTGTTTTGATGCTCAAATTAATCATTTCAACATCAAGATGCATGGACATGAGATAAAAAAATGGATTTCAAGTTTTAGAAATAGTGTATTCTGTAATGTATATAATGTATATTTGGACAGTCAATTTTCAAGATTTTCAAGTTTTCATATATCTATCAATCTATACTATTTTTTAAGCTTTAAACTTTATAAATAAAGATGAAAATATATTTCAAGGCTATCACAACCTCAAAAATTTCACTAGAATATGTTGTTTTGATGCCCAAATATACTCAAATTGATCATCTCAACATCAAGATGCATGGACATCAAAAAAAAAAATTGGATTTCAAGTATTGGAAATAATGTATTTTGCAATGCATTTTTAGACCATCAATTTTCAAGATTTTCAAGTTTTCCTATATCTATCAATCTACACTATTTTTTAAGCTTGCTAGGGTATGTCATTTCTTTACATAAAGATGGGGTGAATTTTTCTAGAACTTCAAGCATGGTTAATGTATGGATATGAGAGAAAATAGACCTCAATAGATAAAATAGATTTCCAATCTTAGAAATAGTGCATCTTGTAATATATTATCTAGATCATTAATTTTCAAGATTTTTAAGTTTTCATATATTTATTCAATCTACACTATTTTTTAATCTTTAAGTTTTATAATTAGAGATAAAATTAAATTTCAAGTCATCATAAAGATCTATGATATTGAAGCAACATATTTCTGCACTATTTGAAGTGGACCTTATTTTGATTGTTTAGGGCCTCAGCCTTATACAAACCACACCTTTTAAAAAATCGGTTTGGGTGGCTGAATAGATCATGCAGCCGGACCTGTTAAAGCCATTTCAGCTTTTATCAAACCAAATAAAAATTGCAAATCAAAATAAGGAAATTTATGGAAAAAAGATAAATATGCAATTCTTTTATTAAATTATTGAAAATATATGAATTACGAGAGTCAGGTTCCTTTCTAATTGTCTCACTATCATTCACAATCTAAAATGCATTATATATTTGGAAAACGTTTATATAAGGATGCAACCTTATAATGTAGAACTACGGATGTACCTCAAAATTTCATCGGAAAAGGTAGTTTTAATGTTGAAAGACCTTTTGATTGATCATCTCAACATCGAGATGTATGACCATGAAAAATAAAAAGATTTTAAGTCTCAGAAATAGTGCATTTTACAACATATTATCTACACCATCTATTTTCAAGATTTTCATATGTTTATAGATCTACTTGATTTTAACCATTTTTTAAATTTAAAATCTTATAAGTAGATATAAAAATAGTTTTTGAGATAATCCTAATAATATTTTACATTAAAATTATATACCATGACAAAATTTGAAGGTGCACCTTACCTCTACAGCTACAGATGCATTTGTGTGCCAACTGCACCTTATATATTTATAGCGACATTCATAAATATAAATGAAATATTAATATTATGTTTTATTGAATGCTTATTCACAAAGAATTTGAACCAAACTTAAAGTTCTTTGGTCGAGATTTGACATGAAACTTCAAAGATTGCATATTTGTATTTTAGGGTTCATTAAATAGGTATTATTGTGTGAAAAAAGCTCAGGAAAAAAAAAAAAGGCAGTTTGAGCTTGATATCGACTCATTTTGGATCGATTTATGAATCAATATATCAATGAAAGTGGATTAATATAGATCATGTCCAATGATTGGCATGGAAATTAAAAACAGCTAAAAAATGTATTTTCCACATACGGACTATAGAAAGCCAGTTTTAGGTCCAATCCCCTGGGTCCGAGTGAGAGTGAGACGTCGCATGAGTATTTCATGGATCCAAGCCGAGTTGGCCGGCTCCAAATCGGTCCAGCAATTTTTAAACGAAGAACTTTATATACGGTGTCAACCTGATACTGTACAAGTAAGGTGCACCTCAAAATTCATCGGAAAAAGTTGTTTGGTCATAGAAAACCCTCTAATTGATCATCTCCACTTCGATACGTATGAATATAAAGAAAATTTGAATTTGAAATCGGACAATAAATTTTTAAACGAAAAACTTCATATAAGATATCAACCTAATATTGTACAAGTAAGGTTTACCTCAAAACTCAGCGGAAAAAGTTGTTTCGTTAATAGAAAACCCTCTAATTGATCATCTCTACTTGGATATGTATGAGTATAAAGAAAAATCGAATTTCAAGTATTAATAATATTACATCTTGCAACACATTATCTATGTTGTCTATTATCAAGAAATTTAAGTGTTTATAGATTTGCTAGATTTACAATATTTTTAGAGCTTTAATTGTTTAATGTAGACACCTTACACAAACCTGACCGACCTTTTATGTAAATCTTAACTTTTTATTCACTTTTTAATTGTTTAATGTTGACACCTTATACAAACCTGACCGACCCTTTATGTAAATCTTAACTTTTTATTTACATATTTTTTGTGAAAAATTATAATGCAATTGCCTTTTTTTTTTAGAAACCTAAAAGGCTAGATTTTTTAGAAGTTTTTTAAATTTGTTTGAGGTTGAGACCAGCCGATCCTCCGATCCACCAATCCGACACGATTTTTTGAGTGGCATATCTGAGTCACCGATCTTTTTTTTATGCCTTGGTTTAGTTAATGGGTGCGGTTTATATAGAGCCGAGGCTCTAAACAATCAAATTAAAGCCTACCTTCAAATAGCGTTGAGAAATGTGGTTTCAATATTGAAAATATTTGTGATAGCTTTAAATTATATTTTCATATTTAATTATAAAATTTAAAGTTTAAAAACTAATTTAGATCGAAAAAATCTATGAAATTTTGAAAATCTTGAAAATTGACGGTCAAAAAGTGCATTACAAGATGCACTACTTCCAACACTTGAAATCTATTATTTTCTCATGTCCATGCATCTTAATGTCGAGATGGTCAATTTGAGGATATTTAAGCATCAAAACAACCTCTTCTAGTGAAATTTTTTAGATAGACTCCAATTTGATTGTTTAAAGCCTAAGGTTATAAATAAATGTTCTCCTTAGTTAATAAAACCAAGTTTTATTGTTTTGTTTTGTTTAGTGTAATAGAATCAAAGTCATTCACATGTATTACTTAGTTTGAAGCCTTTTGCAAAAAATGTTTTCAACTTTATATGAAATTTTTCTGTCTTCTGAATATTAACCGATGTTCCACTATGGCGCGAGCCAACCCAGACTCACCCGAGTAACTCCGGCTCATCAAGAGTATCCCGAGTTTGGTGGTCAAACTCATGGATATTAAAAATAAATCAAATAAAATATAAAAATATTTTTTAAAAAATAAATTTATATGTAATATATTTATTTGTATTTTAAATCATTTTCGCAAAGATTGGAAGTGTTTTTAGCCCAGGATACTTGTTTTTACACTTTTCCTTATTTTTGGTTTATTTCTAAAATACTCCAGCTAAAAATTGATTTTTTTCAAAATTGATTTTTTAGTTATTTTTTAACTTCATTTTAGATGTGTTTTGTTTAGTTTTACTCCAAATGTATTTTTCAATTTTTTTAGGATTTTTATTTTTATTTTTACCATTTTTTGCCCTAGCCGAACCTTGCTTGACTCAGGCCGAGTAACTCAAAAGTCAACGCAACTTACTCGGCTATTTGGGCGGAGCTCGAGTTTCTGTCCCTAAGTCATAGTTTCCACACTGGTATGAAACAGCCTTTTAAAAAAACAGAAAAAGTTTATGTAAGGTTGCAACATTATATTAAAAAAAAAAAAGAAAACTCGTTTTAAAAACTTAAAGAAAGGCCCACTTTTATTGAAAGAAAAAAAATAAAACGTGTTTCAAAACCTTAAAGAAAATGTGATGTTTCAAATGAAAAAAAAAAGAACGAAAATTGTTTCATGTCGTCTGGACCGCATTTTTAAATAGAAAAAGTTTAAACAATCAAATTGGAGCCTACCACAAAAATTTCACTAGAAGAGGTTTTTGATGCCCAAATATCCTCATATTTCAAGTTTTGAAAATAATGTATTTTGTAATACATTTTTGGATCAACAATTTTCAAGATTTAAAAGTTTTAATAGATTTGTCGATCTACACTATTTTTTAAGCTTTAAACTTTATAAAAAAAAATTGAATATATATATTAAAGTTATCACAAAGACTTTCAATATTGAAACCACATTTGTCAATACTATTTGAAGGTAG